ATAAAAAATCACCTCTGTGGCGACAATGATAGTATAATAAGGATATAGGAATGAATTACTATAACTTCAACTATTAAATAAACAAATTTCAATCGAATTGCTCTTTTCAAATAAATTATCCGATCTAGCACAATCTTAAAAAGATACAAATGAACTACAATACATTTATTTGTATTACTAATTAACTGCACGTATTTGATAGAGCAAACCTTTTATTATTAATTAAGGGAAAGTTAACTTTAATACTTGTTCATACTTAATGAACCGAATAACAACTAAGTTTATTTTGGAAGATAACTTCCTTATTCATTTTTTAAAGTTATTATTTATAATTAGTACTGAGTGGAAGAATTTAATAAATTCCATTCTTAATGTAAAAAACATATTCAAAAGCAAAACTTACAAAGAATAGCAACAATAGTAATAACAATTAGTGATAGAAAGTAACAGCTAACAAATTTTACTGATCTCAACCGATTTTAAATGATTATTTTTTTTTAAATTTTATTTAAATCAACAAATTGGATGTCAGTCTGAAAAATTCATACCGTACTAACATGTTACTGTAGATTACTGCTTAATATCAATCTTTTCTTAGCACATCATAAGTTCAGTTCTCTTTGAATGGATTATTAAATTTACACAAATACAAAATAAATGCTAATGTTACGAACAACAAGTAATAACTTGTTGATGACTTATCAACAGGACTTATCAATTTATAACTTATCTTTCTATTCAAATAACTCACTTAAACATACCAATTATGGTAATAACAATTTTTTTTTGAGCTTTTTTTCATCAAAAATTTGTGCTTTTTACAGAACATTAGCACCAAAAGCAGATATTTGTTGTGAATGAGAAAGGAATATCATTAATTCCATTTATTTAATTATCTAGTTCTCAGAGATTTTAATCTTTGCAATCTTAGCTCAGTACAATACTTTTATATTTCCTTTCTCATTCACAACAACTACATGATTCGTTCAATTGCTTTTTAATAAAAATGAATAAAAAGTTAAACATACCATTCCGATACTTGTCATAAAGTAATACACAAATGAATCAGGCAAAAGTCTGCTTTTGGTTTCTGATAATGTGAATGCTTCCCTTCGTGCTAAGTCAAAAGTCGAAAAGTTTACGATTAAAATCACAAGAGCCACTAAATCAGATAAAATCATCCATGAATAATAATTATAAGGCGAGCCTTGTCGTAATTTCAATATATCCAACAGTACTGATACCATACAACACTTATTATAATCTAATTATTTTAATCATTAATGTTTATTATTATTATTGTTATTTCTTCCTCTGGTTATTTATGTATTTTTAATAATAGGGATTTTTGCCTCAAAAATTCAAAAAGAATTAACTTGAAGTGAGAGGGAAAAACCTGAATCATACAGTATTTAAACATGTTTTTTGTTGTATACTTTTGGTCATGAAAAATG